TGCTTTCATGTCTGGGGAAACACATGTTTGTTTGTGGATATTGTTGTGTGGAAATTGTGTACTGCTTATCATTTTTTTTTCTGCTGCGAAATTCACAATTCTTTGCCCGCTGTCGTTACTAATTTCATGCAGGCTATGTATAATATTGTTCCCTGATATAATTTCTCTTTTATTCATTATGAGCTAAAAATAATTCAAAATTTTTGAAACACTCATGGCATTTATATTAATAAATTTATCATTTCTCTTTTACTATTTTTACATTTAAATCTCCTAGAACTATTTTATCGTATAATTTTTATCGTTGACACTTTTTGGACTAATCTGGTATACATTTTTTTCTTTTTTTCTGCTTTTTTGTTCTCTATCGTAGCGTGCAAGTTAATGAGAATTATATAAATAATCGTTCCTTTTATTTTCAGAGTAGCTATCCTTTTATTAATGTTTTTATAGCGTGCTTGTATCTTTCACTTATAATGAAACCATCCCCTTTATCTACCTCGTGAATTACCGTGACTTATTAGGTATTTTTCATATTCTCGGATGCCTTCGTTCTTTCATCTAATTTCCTGCAATGCTGAAAATATCTATTTTGTAAATTTTTATTTATTCAATAAGGCTTTGTAGTTCTCCTATTTCTCTTATTTATTTATTTATTTTTACGCACAACAGGCCGTTAAAGCCTAGGGCATTTTTTTACAACATAATCCTAATATTAACTAATTACAATTATTTTAAACAAAACTTTAACTTAAATATGTATATATAACATTCTTAATACTCTGAAGGACCTGGTTTACAATATTTCTCCATTCGCTTCTATTTTGTGTTTTTATTTTCCAGTCCCTCACCTTCACGTGTTTAAGGTCTTTCTTCGCTTTACTAATCCACCTCGTTCTGGGTCTACCTCTTCTTTTGGGGCCGATTAATTTTCTGGTTATTACTAGTTTAGGCATTCTGTTTGCTGCCATTCTTTCCACATGTCCCAACCATCTGATTCTTTGTGCCTTGACGAACTTGGTAATGGTAGGTTCTTTGTATAAAGCTATTAATTCATTGTTGGTTCTTCTCTCCCAACCATCTTCTGTCTTCCGTCCTCCGAATATGCGTCTCAATATTTTCCTTTCCCATCTTTCCAGAGTATCCTCTTCCTTCTTATTTAATGTCCATGTCTCACCGGCATATGTTACTGTGGGTCGAATTACTGTTTTATATATTCTGAGTTTACCTTGTCTATAAAAGTATTTTGAGTTCAGTAGGGCTCTTAAACTACCTAATTTTTATTCCCTTTTGCTATTCTGGCTTCGAGCTCCCATTTCTCTTTTCCATTTTCATCGAAAGCTACATCCAGGTATTCAAATATGTCCACCCTTTTAAAACTATAGTTTTTACTACTTACTGACCTCACACTAAAGTCTTCTTTTTTTTCTTCTGTCCCTTCCATGATCATATATTTGGTTTTGTCTTCATTTAGTTCCAATCCGAATTTCTGTGCTTCTTCGATGATTTTCTTCATAACTCTTCTTAATTCTTTCTCGGTTTTTGCTAGGATAGTTAGATCGTCAGCAAATGCCAAGCACTGGTGCTCATTTTTCATGATCGTTTCTTCCACCTTCATGCTGCATTTTCTAATTAAGTTTCTAAACTTAGTTGAATAATGTAGTGAATAAAGGATCTCCCTGTCTCAAGCCTTTTGCAGCCATTTCTCTTATGGTTCCTATATTCCAGGTTCCAATTAAAATATTTCCACTTTTCTTTTTTTTTCTTTTTATTGTACTTTTGTTTGTTTTATACTGTTTACTAATCTCTATAGATATTAACTCTTTTTATTACCAGTATGGCACCATTTTTTGTCAGATATCAAATGATGACGGTCATCTTCAATACTCTTAGCTCTGTTATTGCCGTAATTTTTCCTGAAATTACAATTACCCCTTTTTTAACTGTATTATTTTTAGCGTTATCTTAAGACTAAAGTCAAAATATTATATATATACAGCGAGTCTTCTACAGCTGGCACCGCTTCTCGCATCCTAATTTCCAGCGTTTTCTGTCGAAGCAATCTTTAGTTGTTAGATCTCTGGCGGTCATTGCATCGTCGACATCGTCTCTCCAGGATCGTCTTGGTCTACCTCGATTTTCTTCTAGTGGCGGAGTCTTCTTCTATTTTTTTTTTGCCATCTATTTTCTGGCATTCTCTGAAGGTGTCCATACCAGTTAAGTCTTTTGGCTTCGATTGTGTCTATTATGTCTAGATCGATTTCCATTTCTCTCCGAATATCTTCGTTTCTCACCCTATCAAGTCTAGTGAGCTGGCAACATCGTCTCCAGTAGTTCATTTCCATGGCCTTAATATTGATTTGTTTCTTGGTTATTTCCCAAGTAGGCACGTAGTCCAATACTTTCTATTATTGTTTTATAAATTCTTCTTTTATTTTCTTTGTTATTTTTTTGTTCCATAATAGTCCGTGTAGCTGTCTGGTGGCTGATCTTGCTTGGCCAATCCTGAATGTATTTCTTCGCTACTTCCTGCTTTTGATGTTATTTGGACTCCCAAGTATTTAAAATTGTCTATTGGTTTTATAGTTCCCATTTCGATTTGTAGGCTTTCTGGTTTCTCTCCTACAACTAAGTACTCAGTTTTTTGTATATTAATTGTGAGGCCCCATTTTGTGCACTCATCTTCTAGTTTTCTAAGCATGTATCTACATCACTCTCGTCTTCAGCTAGAATGGCTTGGTCGTCAGCGAAGTGTATCGTGTACAATCTACTATCTCCGATTGGGATGCCCATATTACAGCACTTTCTTCTCCACAGTGAGAGTGCCTCATTTAGATATATTTTGAAGAGTGTAGGTGCTATGCAGCAGCCTTGCTTTAGGCCCTTACTAATAGAAATTTTTCTAGTTAAACTATTTTCAGTGTTAATGTTTGCCGTCATATTTTTGTAGAGCTGTTGTACTGCTTGTATATTTTTTTGTTTATTCCTTGTTTTTCCATTGCTACCCAAAGCATTGAAAGTGGTACACTATCGTATGCCTTTGTCAGATCTATAAAGACTATATGAGTTAAAAGGTTGTGGGCTAATCGTTTCTCGATAATTTGCTTTAGAGAGAATATACTGTCCATACAGGATCTGCCTGCACGAAAGCCATTCTGTTCTTCTACATCTGTCATCTCTTTTTCAATTTTATTTGATTTCGAAATGAAAATTATTATCGAAATGAAAATTAAAATTATTAAAATTTTTATTAAAAAAGATCACCGTTATTTCTCTTAACATAACTATTACTATTTTCACCCTCAATATGGATGCCGTCGCCATAATTCATTATCGCCTTAATATTATTTTTATATTCGTTACCGGCGTCCGCACGAGAGGAAGTATTTCTTTCTGTCTTTGGTTTTCGGTACTTCGCAACTTTCACTCTAACTGTTCGGTTCATAAGGTAAGAATGTGTAAGTTTTATGAATTGTAGGGTTAGCCTGATGTCAATTAGCCTTCGACTAGGTCCGTCATGCCAGACTTGATCGAAGGCCTTTTGTACATCGAGAAAAGTGGCGATGGCGATGGTATTGTGAAATAATTTTGAAGTGAAATCTATTATTGAATTTTGTGTTGATTTATTAGATTGGAATCCATACTGAAATCTGAGGATGATATTGTGTGTTTCGAGAAAGTCACTGAGCCTCTCCTTGAGGATGAGCTCAAGGATTTTACCTAGTATTTTGATTAAGGAAATAGATCTGTATGATTTTACATTTGTACGAGGTTTACCCGATTTGGGTATCATGTTTGGGTAACATGATTATGTTAGCTGTTTTCCAAGGCTAGGGAAAATAGCTATTTTTGAGGCATGCATTAATAGTTAGTTAGTTAATAGTTAGTTAATAGTTTTTGTTAGAAGCGGGGTTATACTCTCTGGAAGTTGTTTTAGGCACCTTCTACTAATATTTTCAGGTCCGGGAGAGTTATTCTTGCCGACACGGCAATAACTCTCCGTTTATCTGTCAGTAATAGGATCCAGGATTGGATCATGTTCTAGACTTTGTTTTTTCTTACTATGAATTCGGTGTTGAGTTTAAATAAGCGATCGAAGTTTGGGTTATCTGAAGTTTGAAAATTTTCATGAAGCGAGTTTTTGAATGCTTCGGCTTTCAGTTTGAGGTTGAGAAGTTTTTTGTTTTTTTAGGACTTTGAATTTGTTCCACAATTTAGTCCCATCTCTGTAGTCTAGTTTCGAGGTAGTATCTTCCCACTGGCAAGCCTGTAGGGCAATATTTCCTTCTTAATTCTAGTAGAGAGGCGATTATACTGTGTTTTAATTAGTGGGTCTCTGTTGATCTTATATTGACGTAAAAGTCGTCTTTTTTGGTGTTTTTTGGCAATGATGTATTGTGGAAATGTCGGTGAAAATGGTTGTATGGTTTTCATAGAAAATGAGTGATTGATTGCCTCGATTATTAGGTTCTCAATTTGGATAACACTGTGATCGATAATTTCATTTGTATCAAGGCCTGCTTTTGGCAACTGTTTCAATATAAGTATTCCCTAAGAGAAGAGCGGGGATAGTTAAAAAATATATGAGCCACACTGGCGCACTCTTGTTTTTAGATGCAATCATTAGCAAAAACAATATATATGTAACGCTTATCTTTGCTAGAGGTTTAAACTTTGAAGGCTTAACATATTCATAGAAAATCTCCCATGGAAAACAATATTGACCTGTCCATTGTCAGATTTTTCATATTATATATGAAAATGAAGATATTAACGATGGAAAGTTTTAAAATTGTCACCCTGTAATTATTATACTAAGCATACTAATTAAAAACATTGTTTTAATGATTATCGCCATTAATACAATCTGGTGTTTTATTTAATTGTAGGTACCCACTGTGCGAATTTTCTTATCGATATCAAATTAGTATCTGAACTGATACACATGAGCATTGATACACATCAAATAAATTTTATAGACATAAACGATCAAAATGTTTATTATTATAAAGTTGATTTAACAGTTTATATTAAACAGGTGTATATATTTTTTTCCATCGTTAGATACTTTTAAAATAAACCTCGTAGGAAAACATAGAGATAAGAAACAATTCTAATAAACTCGGTCGGTTTTAACTTTACTAACATTAAATTAGTTATTTGGGTGATTTCATGTCAACGTTATCAAGAGAGTATGAATTTTCTCGGATTTCAAGTGGATCCTATGGAATCGATGTTAGTTTTAAGCACAGATCAAAACGAGAGGTCATCAAAATGACTGGTCTAATAAGTTTGATAGTGTTTGCTCTGATTACTACTGTTGTGTATGGTGTACATTATTCGCAGAATGATGGTCCACATTCCGGTACTTTGAAAGTGTTGAGTCTGGTAATGAACATGACAAATATAAAAAGATATCCAGTAAGTTACATTTTTATTAAATAATATATTTTATATAACAACTGATGTGGCTATTTAAATATACATTTTTTATTTATTGAGTTTGATAGTAACTGCAGTTAGAGATTTTCAAATATATTTTCCATTTAATAGATTATACGAATATTTTTTGACTAGTGTGGCTTTTTCAATAATTATTTACTTATTGTATTTATTTATTCACTTGTCTTGTACTGAGCAAATTTTCTGTTTACATGTTGAACAGGTTGATTTCACCATACACAATATCTCCCGCTACATTTTTATCAGCCACGCTATCTAATCTTTCCAAGAACGATGAGCAATTATTTGTGTATATTTACAGTATCTCCGTTAAACGTGTCATAATGTTTTAATCAATAAAGATAAATCATGCACATCGTTAAAATAAATAAATAATCAAAATAATATAATTAATTTTGAAATTTACAAAATCTTAAGAGCAAATAGGAGCTACATATTTCCTTATTCACCCATCATTGGATCAAACTGTTCTTTTACGCGAGGAAACGAAGCACTCAACCTAGCAATTTTTCTCAGCAAGATGAATCTCTATGAAACTTTGCATTCGAATCTGAAAAGTTTGTGAACAAAATTTTAGATTTTAAAATAAAAAATGCATTTCCAAAGCATAGAAAAAAAAATGCAACTAAGATATTAACGACGATGATCCTTGAGCTACTTGTTGCTCAGGGTGGACCTCGCCTTTTGGAGTTTTCTTCTTCTTCCAATGGCGCTACAGCCCAAATTGAGCCTTGGCCTCCTGTAACTTCTGCCTCCAACAAAGGCGATCCCGCGCCACTCGTCTCCAAGCCCTGACGTTCAATAAGTTGTGCGCATCTGCTGTGACTTCGTTCTCCCATCTATTACGTGGTCTTCCCTTTGGTCTTCTGCCCTGCATTTTACCATCCAAGGCCTTTCTCGGCAATCTGTCGGCATCGCGTAGCGAGCTCTGCAATAGGTGCTTCTTTGAACAGTTGGTAGAGTTCATGGTTATATCTAGATCTCCACATCCCATTTTGAGTGATGGGTCCAAAGATCTTCCTTAGGATTTTTCTCTCGAAAACCTCTAATCTTCGTTTAGTGCTTTCTGTCAAAACCCATGTCTCGCATCCATAGCATACTATCGGTCTGATGATAGTTTTATAGACCTCAAGTTTCGATTTTCGATGTACCGTCTTGGAGCGGAATATGTTAATCAGGGAAAAATAGGCTTTATTTCCTTCATTATTCTCTTCTGAATTTCGGCCTCTTCTGTTCCCTCCGTATTCATTTCGACTCCCAGATAAGTAAAACTCTTCACTGTTTCCATGTCATCCTCTACTTTGATTTGATTTCTTGTTCGCTTTGTCCGCGTCTGTGTTAGTATTTTTGTCTTCTGTGTATTTATTTCAAGTCCAATCTCCTTGGCCGTTTTTTTCAGCTGCGAATATGTTTCTGCTGCATCATCCACTCTGCGGGACATAAGGTTAATGTCATCCGCATATGCGGCGAGCTGGACAGATTTGTTTGTTAGGAGATTGGCTCTTCCGACATTCAGCTTTCTGATGACATATTCAAGGGTAGACTCAGGTGGGGCTCAGGGTGGACCTCGCCTTTTGGAGTTTTATGTGATTTTCAATCAAAATTAGTCAAAAGTCATCACTTAAGAGTTTTAAAGACCGCTGAACACGAAAATTATGGCGGCTATAATCCTCGAGATACCTCGTACCCACGGTGAACCTCGTCTTCAGAAGTTTTTTGTTATTTTCATTCAAATTTAGTTTAAAGTAATTAATCTGGGGTTTTCGAGGTCAATGGACACATATACTATGGTAGTTATGATCCTAGAGCTACCAGGACAACGGTATGGGCCTCGATTCATTGAATATTATGTTATTTTTATTCAAAAACAGTCAAAAGTCATTACTCGGGGATTTTGGGCTTACTGAATACGAATATTACGACGGCGATAATCTCCAAGGATACTTAGGGGTAGTATAAGATCACAAACCTAGAAGCGTCTGAGAATTAAAAACTCACCAACCCGCCTTGCCAGCGTAGTATTTCAAGGCAAATACTTCCCAACAAAATGTTTGATTGTACAAGAAAAGTGGATGTACCCAAGCTGTCACACTGATTTATCAGTCTGTCCCAAGGATTCTGGGGGGTAGGGGGACAAAAAACTGACACTCTTTACCACTCTTTATCTGATCCTACAGTGCCAGAACATTATTATCTGAAGAAAAATTTACTGAAATGAAAATCGAGATGTCAAAAGTAAAATTGGATATCATTGGAGTCAGTGAAGTAAGACGACAAGGAAAAAACCTGACACTAAAGTATAAACACTAAAATCAGGGCATATATTTTACAGTATAGGTAGTGAAACCAAATCAATCGGAGAGAGTCGGTTTCTTTATACACAAAAAACTTGCAGATGGCATAGTAATTACAAGAAGTATATACAGAAGAGTAGCCTATTTAATCGTAAAGCTAAAGCGAATGTATAAAGATTATTCCGGTATATGCACCAACAGCGGACCATCTGGACGAGGAGATTGATGACTATTATTAGTCAAACAAAAGAAATATCAAAAGCTATAAGGAAAGATTTAAGGAAATTTAGGAATGAAAAAGTCCAGCAAACTATAGAAGAGAATAAAAGTCTGAAAGTCCTGAGAAGACGACTAAACAATGGAAAATGCGAAATATACAAACTAAAGAACCAAGAAGGAGTCACGACATCGAATAGAGAAGAGCTACTACACATAGTTGAAGACTTCTATCAAGAACTATATAGAAGCCAAAGAGAAGACCAAAAGAACTTGGAAGCTTCAGAGGGTTCAAAGCTCATGCCAGAGATCACACTAAGCGAAATCCAGGACGCAATGAAAAGATGAAAAACAACAAAGCGCCAGGAGAAGATGAAGTCGTAATAGAAGAAATAAAAATGGGCGGACGTGCCCTTGTCAACCAAATAAAAATGTTGTTTAACCTTTGTCTATCAGATTGTTGCATACCAAAAACATGGAACAACGCACTAATAATTTTACTACGCATGAAAGGAGACAAGGCGCACCTAGAAAACTATAGAATAGAGCAATCAGCTTATTGAACTACATCTACAAAATGTTTACCCGAGTAATTACGATAAGACTAGAGAAACAGTTAGATTTCTACCAGTCCCGAGAACAAGCTGGCTTCCGCTCAAAATTCGGAACAAACGATCACCTTAACTTACACTGAGTAGGACTTATCTTCGTAAACTTTCACAAAGCCTTCGATACTGTGGAATTAGACAGCATTATAACTGTTCTGAATAATAGTAGAATAGATTACCGGCTTACAAAGTTAGTACAAACATTATACCAGAACGCCACAATGCTTGTAAAACTACATGATACCACCAAAGAAATTTATATCAAGCGAGGTGTGAGATAGGGCGACACTGTCTCACCTAAATTATTTATAACAGTCCTCGAATACGCCTTTAAAATGTTAAAGTGGGAAAATAGAGGAATAAAAATAGATGGAGAAATGCACAATGATCTGCGTTTTGCCGACGACATAGTGCTTAATACCAAAGATCTGGGTGAAGCACAACAAATGTTACCAGAATTAGAAAACGTATCTTCAACAATAGGTCTAAAAATGAACATCAGTAAGACAAATTTATGACAAATTTAGTTCCCAGCGAACACCTAATCATCCAAAATCAAGTGGTAGAATTGACAGAAAAGTACATATATCTTGGTCATGAAATCAGAATAGGCAAGGACAACCAGACCTACGAATTTTAACGACAAATAACACTTGCTTGGGCGTCGGGTTCACTAAGAGACATCTTTAACAGCAAAATCCCGATAGCTATGAAACGAAAGACATTTGACTAATGCGTTCTTTCTATCATGACGTACGGAGCAGAAACTCTCACGCTCACAAACGCTGCAGAGGACGACCACCAACATGCTGGATGGACGACATTAGACAAATATTCAAGAAATGGCAACAAGAAGCACAGAACCGTCAAGAGTGGCAAAAAATGGGAGAGATCTATGTCCAGAAGTGGACAGAAGAGGTTGCATGATGATGATGATGATGATGATAATGATGATCTCCAAAGTATCTGGTGTCCAGCGTGGACTTCATCTCCTAAACTTTCTTGTTAATTTGTTATTTTTTTATGAAAGATTTTATGAAAGTATGGTATTAAATAAGAGATTACTGAAACCTAATACAAAAAAAAATATTATTGATTTTCTCCATAGTCATGCAATTTTCACCCAGCACAATTTTTACGTTCCCAATTTCAAACCAAACCATTCTTTCTAGATCCACAACTTTATATAAAAAACAATGATTTTCATAATAATTTGAAATAGAGCGAGGAGAAAAAATGCCCTTTAACGAATCACCTGGCACTTCATCAATGCTACCAAAGGTAATACTGGCAGAGTTTTTCAAAATAGATGAAACAAGATTTTTACAGAAAACAAAAAGAAATATGGGAAATGATAAGGGGACAAAAAAGGAGATGAACGAACTAATAAAAACGAAACCACAAAAATAATGGAACGACAACTAACTGAAGGCATATTGAAAAACCGATCGAGTCAAGTCTAGATAAAAAAAAAAGAAAAAGAGTAGAAGAATCTTAGTTTGATATTGATTTGTATCGCAGAGTAAACCATGTATCTTATTATTCTGGTTCAAGCTTTTAATTACTCTAGCATACAAGGTATTAATGATGTTTCTATCCATTTATCAATAAATGTAAAGGAATATTCTTCTCTTTTGAATTACCATTTTCATATTTTATTTCTCTTAAAAACCTTCTCAGTTATAATTTTTTATTCCTTTCACTCCTAAACTCTCACTCCTTTCATTCTTTTCAAATGCATGTGCTTCGTTTATTATTGTATTCTATTTGACGTGCACAAATTGTGTTTTGGTTGACATTTATTTTAAGTAAGCTTTTTTTTAATATCTATATGAAACTA